CTTTAGATTCATCTTGTTGAATATTTTTTTTCAGAGATGCATTTTTTGCTAAAGTGTTTTTCTATCAGTTTTATGAAGTATTTGCCTATATTAATATTGGAGAGGTTACAAAAAAGTTGGGTTGAACCATATAATTTTCCTTTTCCTATTTTTGGGTTTAGCGGATTTTTTACTTACTGACTTATCTGTGTAATTTAGTGTTTGCTTAAAATTGCTTTTTAACAGGGCTTTATTGTATTCCCATTTATTCTGGTTAAAAATGGTTTTACTGGAGGAAAGTTTATTTATTCTAGCATTTACTGTATTTGGGATTTGTTTAATTATTGATTTCGGGTGATTGGAGTGGATATTTATATATATGGGTGATTGGTTTTCCTTTTGGAAGGGTTTATAAGTATTATTGTTCAGATTAAATGTAACGTCTAGGAAGTTTACTATTTTTAAGTTGGAAGAAATCTCGATTCTAAATCCTAGAAATTTGAAGGCCCTAATTATTTTCTTTTTTGTAGTTGGGATGTTAACGGACCATTAGTATTAGGTACAGCAACTAACCCGTCATCTCTGTATAGTCCTATATTTTGAGGGTCAAGGAATCTACTTAGGATATCTAAAATGTATATACCTATTAGGTCTGTTATTTGAGCTGAATACAAAAAAAAAGATCCCATTGGGACATCAAAATTGTCTCTCTATTTTTTTAATCCAAGTAGTGTTGTTCAGTTTTAGTATGGACTGTCTAGAGTCCATTATGATTTTTATTTCTTCGTCAGTAATGTCAGTGTGGATTCTGGCAAAACTTAAGCTATTTTCTAATAATCTTTTTAGAGATTGAGGGGTGAAATTTAGATTTTTTTTTTTGGATGATATCAAGTTGTATAAAAGTAGTATTATTTTTTATTCTTTATTTTTTTTGGAACCAGTTAATGGTTGTCTAACAATATTATATTTATAAGATAAAAGTTTTATTTTTTCCTTAAAAAAGTACTAAATTTAAATTCAGATGGTTGTATTATTTTTTTAAATGTTTTTATAGATGTTTTTTTTGCTTTTTCAATGTTCTGTAAGAATATATTTTTTTTTTCAATCATTAAATGTTTTTACCTGTTTTGCTTCATAAAAAATTCCTAAAACTCCATTCTTTTTATGACGAATTTCAAATTAATTTTTCGTGAAGATTGTTTTTAAAATTTATGGTAATATTTATCAAAACCTTATTTTTAAGATAATATTTAATATTTAAACGAACTGACAAATTCTAAAATATGATTGAAACCTGTTGTTAATTTATTGGGGTTTTTAAATAATGTCTTCCTTTAATGTAATTGGGTCATAAAAATAAGAACCAGGTTATCTTAATGAACAAAAAATCAAAAACAATCACGAGTTAAATTTGAACAAAATCAAACGAATAAATTCAAATAACTGGGCTATAAGATAAAATTAAAATTTTTAGAAATTAAATTCAACTTTGTTTGTATATTGAAAATCGACTTCTTTTTTCATTTTACCAAACTTTTTGAAGTAAATTCCAAAAAATGGTATGGTCGTGATTTGAAAAAAGATTGTTTTTTTTTAGATATTTATTTTTTAATCCCAAATATGCACGTTAAATCCTTTTTAAACCACGGAATTTGAAAATGGTCTGTCTTTTATTTAAATTTATTATATTTATTGTGTGTATATATATATATATATATATATATATATATATATATTTATATATATACGAGACGCGTTAAATTTGAGCAACATCCAGCCGACAGTCTTTCATTTAAATATGGAAATTAAAATGATACATATGACACACTCATATCCTCTCTCTACATCCTTCCAGATGCCTTCTGTTAACACGTATCTTGATGAGGTCCGTAAAAAACGTTGAATTTCTTTTCATTTTTTCATTTCAGCTTTTGGAAGTAAAGTCTGATGATCCAGAACCCTGTTAAAGGGGTTTGGTGAAATATTATTACATGGAATCTTAACGTATATATATTGACTAACATGGAAGAAGGAAAACTTCAGCATATTAACAGTAACAGTCTCTTCTTGCCATTTTCTATTTTATTGAATTTTTCTGCATAGATATAATATCTAAGGGAAATCACTGCTATTAAATGATTATCTCTCTTTTTGAAGAATGACTTTAAAACAGGGTTAGGCAAACTGTGTCCCACGGGTTGCATGCGGCCTGGATGGAGTTTTTTGTGACCTGTTGAGACATTTGGAACACAATACGAGCAAGGGCACTCAACCACCACCAGTTCAAATCTATGCTTGAGGGCATGGAGTCAGAATATGAAAGCATGATTTATCACAACAGTGTCAGATGGTTGTGCCTCGGTAAAGTGATAAAAAGAGTCTGGGTATTACAGAATGAAATTCTGTTATTTCTAGATATGAAAGGGATTTCATTTGATTCTGTGGCCACAATGGAATATGAGGAGTGGAGATGTGAGCTGATGTTTACAGCAGACATATTTGACAAACTGAATGAATTTAATGTAACATTGCTTATTTGCATGTGAAATGTGGTAAAATGTAAAATCTTTCAACATAAAAGTAGGCTTATATGTAAGGCAAGCAGGTGAAGGCAAGTTTTGCGATTTCTCTTTATTAAGAAAAGAGAAAGTGCCTGAAAGTGTTTCTGCTAAGATCAAGGGTTATTTGTAGAATTTGGAGGATGAAATCATAAGGAGATTGCAGGACTTCAAGAAAATTGAGCCTGAATTCAATTTGTTATCTTATGCATTCACTACTGATGTTGATGCAGCATCTGAGGAGCTGCAGCTTGAGTTAATAGACATACAAGCTAATCAAACACTGAAAGAAATATATAATGCTGGGACATTGATTTTTATAAATCATTGTCTGCTGATAAATTTTTTATGTATGAAGAGATTTGTTGGGAAAATATTCTATATATTTGGATCAACATACATTTGTGAACAAAGTTTTTCTTGCATGAAAATTAATAAGAATAAATATAGATGCTCTTTAAAAGACATAAATTTGCAGGCAGTAAGAGGATCTCAACAAGCAGCCTAACTCCAGATTTCAAAATAATTGTTAAAAGCTGTGATAGAATACACTTGTTCCATTAAATAATTAAATGTGATGTAAAATTTGCTCATAAATGAATAAAACTACCTCAGTTGTTTAAGTTTTATTTATTGATTTTTATGCTTGAAATTACACCTTTTCAGAAATAAAACTTCATGTTCACTAATGAATACAATAAGTGTGGTCCTCCACCACCTGAAAATCTGCCCTGATAATATGGCCCTCCAATTGCCCACCCCTGCTTTAAAGAATATAACTGATTTGTAAATTTTTTATAAGTAAATTATGATCTATTCATTGACTTATGAAGTAGAAGGGGCAATTGTACATTTAAAATCTGGCTGACATTAGCTTGTTTCTTGAAGTTTCTTTGATTTTTGAAGTCCTTAAGAAAGGTATAAACTGCACTTTTTTGTGATCTTTTGAACATGATCCTGATATTAGCATGGCCCGAGGATAGATGAAGAAAAAGAGTGAATTAAACGCAGTGAAAGTCTCCTTAATTATAATCTGTTACATATAGCATGACTTGATTGAAGTTTGGCTCAATTCAGCAAAACTAACTGATTCTCACTTTTTTATTGATGCAATTTAGACTTAACATATCTGCATATATTGAAACATTTAATGAATTATATTATGCCGGTATCATGTTAAGCATATAAAAATAAAAATTTTAAAAAAAACTTTTAAAATCCCATATGCTTGTTAGCCTGTTTTTTTTTTTTGTTTGTTTTTTTCTCAGTTTCCTTTTGGGTTTATTTTTTCCATGTATTTATATTTCATAAATAGAATAAAATGTGAACCTCTGATGATAGTATTTTGAAGTTATTCATGTGCTCCCTTTCTAACAATTTTTCTCTTTTCTTTTATCTTCAGTTTTTATTATTATCAGGTAAAGTAAATGTTCACAGAACCATATAAACATAAAATAAATACTCCTATTACTGTATAATTCAAAGAAGTCATTATTCCAAAACTAGTTTGGAATTATTCTTTATATTGCTTTTTCTGTTACTCCAGTGTTTTAGATGGTCAAATCTACTGTCTTCTTCAGAAAAAAAACAAATGAATTTGTATCTGAAGACAGCTGTGAAATGGATCAGCTGAAATGGGCAAACAAAAATTAAATATAAGTGATATGTTTTCATTAAAAACTCTTGGTCTTATGCTTGTTATGGATTTGATAATCTTGTCAATTAGAAAGTTCTTTTTAAACTGAACCAACTTTTCTGAAGTATGTATTACAATCCAGAATGAACAAAGATTTGTTTTAGTTCACTAAGCATGCATGTTTCACTTTGTTAAATGCAAATATAACAACTTGTGCACAATTTAATTGGATGCTTAAGCAACATAAGATGAAAGGAAATCCATTGTTTGGACATAATAACAATTCAAAATTTTATTATAAAAATTGTCTTAATAGTTACATTTAATTAAATTAGAATATATTTAATTAATATAATTACGAAAGAAGAAAGGAAAGCACATCAAATATGGTTTAATAGCCAAAAAATTTAGTAAATAAAGATTAGACAATAAAGTCAGAAAATTTACATTTTAATATTTTTAAATAAGGATAAAGGGAAGTCACTCTTTAATTATCAGTTACCTCCCTTTAAATGAGTATTTTCCCTTGAACAACTGTTTTGTATATAACATCCGTTATATCAAGGAAAAGTGGACAATCAAAATTTTATTGTTTTTGGTTTTATTTGAAAAAAGAAACATTAAAAATGTTGTGTTTTAGCCTATTTCTGCAAAAAAAAAAAAAAAATAAAATAAAAATAAAGATAGTTTGAAGAGGTTTACACAGAATATAGACTGAATACTTATTTTATATAAATTGGAAAAATTAGAGATAAAGAATAAGCTAAAAGATGAATGTTATATTTTTTAAGTATTATGTTTTATCATTTATTTACTCTTTGTTTCAGTTGAATGTCTAAAATTGATTGCTAGCAAAATTATTGGATATGGTATCATCATTGGATCCCTTTTAGGTAAGTACATTTCAGGAAATATAGTTCACTTATTTGGACTTGTTTTGCTTTCTACTAATTACTTTAAAGGAAAGAATCATAAAAATGTAAAATTTATATTTTAGGATCAGAAAAGTTCATATTTTTTATCTGAAAATAGAGGAAATTGTTAAACATCCTGCTTATTTAGTAATATTATTGGATATAATTGAATAGCAAAAAATACCAAAGGGGTTAAGGCCCCAGATTCATTTTTAAGTTATAAGGTTGAAAAAATTGTTTTCACACCTAAGAGAAAAATTGAGTGGCTGATGCTGTTATGTATTTAGTGTCAAACAATATAGTCATGACTATCAGCAATTTGTTACTCTTTTTGAGAAATGGCTTAAGACATTTTTATATAGAGTATGATATATATTTTGATAAATTTAATGTTTATCTCGATTCCAAAGGATAAGAAACGTGGATAGAAAACATTTTTATCTATCATCTGATTGGTTTCTAAGGACTACTTGTGTCCATGTTTTTGTACCATAATAAAAAGCGTTTCTCTTTCTTTACAATTTGAAATATAAAGGTCATTTATTTAGAAAAATATGTGAGCGAATTATCTTTTGCTTTTTAATTATGAAATCAATCATAATATTTTATATTGTTTTCTTAAAAAATATTGTTTATATTACCCCAATTCTTGTTTTAAGCATTTATAAACATTTTTTCCTATTATGATGAATATGTATTAAAAATATTAACAAACTTTAAAGATGGAAAGTACAATGTAAATAAGCAAGCTTTTATAATTCGTATAATAAATGTGGAATAACAAAAAGAGCTCACATTCCCATCATGTTTTTTCTCCAGGTAATTTCAAAAGTTGTTTTTAGATGTTAATTTTGTGTTCATTTTGAAATGAGCTTTAAATGTTTTCTGGTCATTCACAATAGTAATCTAATAATCTTTATTTATTAAAGTCATAATAATCACTTTGGTTAAAAGATTGTTTGGCCTTGATACCTATTCAGTGGTCATTTAATATCACACTTTTTATATTTCAGGCTTTTATAAATATTCAAGTTTTTGACCTTTAACCACTTTTGGAATGAGAAGTTTACTAGACGCTCTATTTTGTCAATTGGTGACCTAGAATGAAACAGTAACATTTCACTTCTTTATCACTATAATTGTTTTTTCTGGTGAATCTAAACCAGAAAGTTATATTTTCATCAATAAGCTAAAATGTTTGGAAAAGAGGGTTTTGCTTTAATATATAAATTCCATGTGAAGATCAGATATCATCTTTGTAAAAATATTAAAAACTTAATACCATTAAATTATTGACTTATTAATGATACATTTTTTTAACTTCATCTATTTATTTTATTTCTTTTATCATAAGTATGGTAGTTATTTACACTGATTCCACAATATTAGTTTATTTTCAGGGTCCTTGATTTTAAGTAATTGTATTTTCAAATTTTTATTGTCCCAGAGGAAATGGTTGGATTGCAAACAACTTTCTTTATAGTTCAATCTTTACTGCCTCATTGTTTAGCTTCAAAATCGCTAGTCACTCTTTTATGACTAATTCAACTATGGGTGAGCTAAAAGGGTGGTAGGATTTATAACATATTGTTTGTTATTATCAGTTTCATATACTGCCTAATCTGAGTGCATACTTTTTTTTTCATTGTGTGAGTGCACATGCTCATGTGCCAGTTCTGTGTGTATATCTGCACACGTGCAGAATGTCACATTCATCTCTCCTCCTCATATATATATATATATATATATATATATATATATATATATATATATATATATATATATATAAATAACCAATAACAATATGATACTTATTAAAAGAATAATCCTTTCACAACTTATATCATAATAAAATAATATTAATGATGGTGGTGTGTAGGAGTGATAGGTTATTGAATATAGCCATGCATACCATATAATGCATATTCATTCAGAAGTCCAGATGTCTAGATTTACAGAGGGGGCAGGTAGATGTTATAATTTCACCCACACCAACACTTTTTATTGAAAACTTTATTTGCTATAAGCTCCGACCTCTTGTTGAGCACTCTGACATCCTCCATACCTTCTCGGATCAGCAATTTCTCAAACAAGCAAAGGTTACACTTATCACTTTTGTCTATGAACATATGCTCTTTGTTAGCAATTTCCCCCACTCCACTGTGTGTGTGTGTATATATATATATATATATATATATATATATATATATATATATATATATATGGCCTTGTTAGAGGCCAGAAATAAAGACACAAGAAAGGAATTAAACAAATATATTAACAGAAACAGTAATACAAGCATATACAAACGAGTGTTATAGCAAGAATGTTCGGTCCAACTGTCAGAGCTGACTGCTGGAAACTTCCCTCTCCAAAAGGCAGTACCTGCTCATATTTGTGGCTGGGAAAGTCGATGTGTGCATGGGTAAATTTATATATATATATATATATATATATATATATATATATATATAAAATTAATTTTTTTATTTTATATTTTTGGTGTTCAAGCGTCTTGAATCCTTTCACTTTCTACTAGTTCACTTTTGTCTGATAATTAATAAAATGAATTAAAATGTAGTATATGGATCACTCTAGATGATGCCATAATAGAGTTTGCACTCAATATCACACCAGACTGTCAGAGAAGCAAGTGCATTTGTTGTTAATGTCTGCAGTTGTATCCTTATCATTACTAAAATTATTGTGAAAAGTTATCTAATGGAAGTCTTTAAAATTTTCAGATGATAAAGCTATGATTCCAGTCATGGTGATAAATTTCACATTTCTAGCATTCACTCTTTTATGTGTAGTTTGATGAGGTGATATATGTTTCAATATTTTATGCAAATAAAAAAAATTACAGCAATTACAAAACTAATGTTTAGAAAGCCACAAAATTTTGCTCATATATAAGTCTTTTGTGTATCTGGAATATCCTAAAATTTTAAGTCATTGCATGAAATAGAATTGAATTTATGCTTGAATATATAATTTAAAAAAAAATTTTTTTAATACCATACCTTATTTTATTCATCCCCAATGGGTTGAGATAACTCTTTACTATTGCTTGATTGCTTGCACATATTACTTTTCAATTCGGTTTCTATTTGTTGAGTGAAAAATCAGATTTGTACTGCTCACTGTTGTTAAATCAGGCACTGTATGCTGCCAGGATTTTAATTTCTTTGTCATACAGTTGTCTCTGTTGCATGTATTTTAGCACATTGGTTTATGATTGTAAACCATTTGAATAATTTTGTCATTATTGCTCAAACATATTTTAAGGCCCATATTGCATAAAAATTAGAACAGTGGCAATTAATCAATATCATCAAAATGGCTGTCATTTGGTTCCTGGTGTAGAGAACCATGTGTTGTTGGACATGATTGTATGTGGCTGAATTAACTTCATAAGAAGATATTTGAAAAAAATAAATGTGACTTATTTGAAATGTTATAATGCCAATGTACATAGTTTTATGTTTAATCTCATTATTCCTTTTTTTTTTTTTTTTTTTTTTATTTCAGTCAAAATTCCTCAGATTCTTAAGATAGTTAAAGCCAAAAGTGGCAGAGGAATCAATCTGTTCAGTGTTTCAATGGAACTGGGGGCCATTACAGCTTCAGCATGCTATGGTTATGCAGCAAGATATCCTTTCAGGTAAGTATTTTGAAAATCTCAAGTGCAATCCAAAAACTACATTTCTGACAGAGCTGTATAGTCAACATGAATTAATTCTCTTTTATTATTGCCAAAATTAAATTAGATTGTGTACTTGGTGTTTAGTTTTAATAAAACCTGTTATCTCTAATGTTGGTTAATGTTTTGAAAAGAAATCTTAAAAGTCTATGAAGATTATTTGGATTCATTTATCCATCTTATATGCACTACCTTTGTTTTATTTTTTAATCTTTTATTTATTGATTTTGGTTGAGATAAGCTCTGAGATGATTCATTAGTCTAGCCTTTTATATTTTAGGTAATAATCATTACATACAATATATCACAAATATACATTCACACAGTAATGTTGGACAGTGATCTAATGGAATCAGGAAATGTATAAGACAATTTTGTAAATATTTTAGCTTGATAAGATTCTCCATCTGCTATCATCTGAAAAAGAAATTTACTATAACTGTATTATTATAGAAATTAGATATAAAATAATTCCAACTTTTTTATATTTAAAATTTTTTTTTATTTTATTTTAATGATTTAAGCATCTCATATAATTTCAGGACTAACTTAGTAAGAAAAATGGATATTTTGAAATATTCTTGTATATTAATTTTAAATTATTCAATAAAAATAGCACCTTCAGTGCATCTTCATTTGAGTAAATTATATTTGACTTTTATTAAAATGGAATTTTCCAGGTCAAACAGATTTTTCACATATACTTTGATTTTAATTTTTTTTTCATGTATATCTACCTATCTCTCTCCCTATATATATATATATATATATATATATATATATCTGAATAACTTTGATTAAAAAGGACCTTTTTCCAGTTTTAAAATGAGCTGTTGCATGTTGGGATCAACAGACCTTTTTTGTTTGCCTCAATACTTGTCTAAATGTACCTTATTCATACATACATACACACACACACACACATATATATATATGAACTAACAAAATATTTCTTGTCTCTTGTATTCAATAAAGCATGTGTAAAAGAAGGGTTGCTGCCCATGTAACACACACATTATATATATGAAGTATAAACAAAATATATTAAATATATATGTATGTATGACAGAGTGAAAAATTTTTTTGTGTGACATTATTGGTCTAGGTTTGTTTATATTGATGCAACTACGCATGCGTATCAATAAGAGACATTTGAAAATTGGGAAAAAATTAAATCTTGTTGAGTGAATTTAATAAAACCTTGTGTATAATTATAGTGGACATTGAGGTCAACACCAAGCAGCAATAGTCTGTTTTATGCTTGAACGCAATTTTTCAAGGACTTGGTATTGACCTCAGTGTCCATTTTTATATTTACATACTCTCTATCTCGGATATTGAGCACTTTTACCCATAAATATAGCATACCTTAAAATTATATTTTTATGATGTATATATACATATATCTTTGAAAGTAATGCCACTTATTTATTTTCATGAAAATTACAATAGATACACAGAACACAATAACATTGTTGGCTAAAGCAAATTTTCAGCTACAAAACACTATTACTTTAGTATAGTCACCATCATTGACTATCCATTTTTGACAGTGATAAACAAGAGCCTGCATGCTCTGTTCAGCGTATGACTTATAACACATTTATCTTGTCACTGCTGAAGCACTTTTACTGTGCTCACATCCCCTATTTGGTTTCTGTAAATGCTCAAAAAGTGTCATGTCAGTGAATATCAAATAGGTGCATTTTGTTTCCACATGGAGGATTTTAGTAATACAGCTCTGGTTTATAAGTACTTTTATGTAAGATGTGATCTTTAACAAATGTATGTCAATATAATAAATTATGAGTCATTTACTTTCAGAGTAATCTTCAAATTTATAGTAATTCACTTGTCTCTCTTCTGAGATTTATGGAGATTAGACTTTATTGTAAAATTGAATTTATCTTCAGAAATCATATTTTTCTTAAAAGAAATTTTAAAAGATTTTGCTTCAAAACCTTTCATTTATTTGAATTTGTTCTTCCTTAAATATGTTATTGCATGTTGTAAACTTGTAGAAAATGTTTTATATAACTAAACAATTTAATATAATTACAAGGTAGGTATTAATGCAAATTTTGATTTGAATTATAAGTGTAACCAAGTATTTTCTTTTTGATTTAAGAGTGTATGTAAATGTTTTACTAAGTAAATTATTAATCTAGTGAATGTGTCTATTTGTAGTTTATTAGATATATTTAATTTCCTTGAATATATGTTAATGATTTTTATTATGCTTTTTTAGGAAAAACACAAGTTTTGTTATATAAATGAGTATTTCTTTTGAATTAGCTTCATCTGTTTTTTTTTTTTTGTTCTATCATTCATTGAATGCTGTCCTAAATCTATTGGATCTTAGCTTCTCTTGACTTTATTCTTTAGTATTAATTTGCTGTTTATAATGTGTGATTATTTCTTGTTAAAAGCCCATCATAATTCTTGTTGGTTGTGATATAGATTATTATTATTATTATTATTAATGATCAATATGTTCTTGATAAATAAATTTTACTTTATTAACATTTTTTTTTTCTTGTAAATAAGTTTTAATTCTCTTTTCAAAAATACTTTTCAAACAATCTAGTTATTTACTTTGTGATAATTTTTTCTGTAATTTTTCTCATTGATCTACAAATAATCTGATTGATAAGTCTAGTTATGATAAATGAAGCCCTTTGTTGTACTTATTACAACAATATCAACATAAATAAGAGAAATATATAAAAATAAAAAACTTATTTCAAAGATAAAATAGTTTGTTCAGTAAAAAAAAACTGACTTAAAAATGAATCTGTAAACACAAACATATTAACAATTTTACAGTTTAAAAAAAAAAAGAAAAAAAAAAGAGGAATTTTTTATTTTCACGGGACATAACTCTTGATTTGTTAGGAGTTTTAGCTTCCCTTGAGAATTCTTTACGCATTAATTATCAAAGCAGACGTTTGAAGGACACTATTCAGATAAAACTAGGTACGACCACAGATATCTAATGTTTAAAATGAATTTTTAAAAATGAAAAATCTTTATTGAAGCTTTTATTTTAGTTTTAATTTCAAGGTAAAAGATTAATATTTCCAATCAGCAAAATACTTTTTCTTTATTTCAAAACTAATTTAAATTGACTGGAAGGAGTTTTTGTTTTGAAATCTGTAAAGTCGCTGATTTTAGCATCATTTTTAGCCTTGTGTCACCACAATGCAATTCTCTTAAAAAAACATCTTGCAAAAATAAAATATACTTTTCTGAAACTTTATTTGAGGAATAATAATTGACTTAAAGTTTAATTAATCTGATTTGAAACAAATATTCCTTACTTAAAGTTTAAAATATCACTGAAATGCATTTTTAGCATGGCACTAGCTGTTGACATCTCGACTGACAGATAGAAGTTTATCTAATTTTTTTCTACAGTGGATTTATCTGTAAAAATTACTTGAGGCATGTAACTTGAGTATATTTTTTATGGAATTTTTAAGTACTTAGTGATCTTAAAAATTTTGGAAAATATTCTCTGTAATTTAATGTTTTAGTGAATTTTAGGTACTTCGGCTTTAAATTTACTATAGTCATCATTCAAAAATTGGCATGTTTATACATAAAAAAAAATCAAAATTCATTGGCAGTTGCTGAAGTTACTTGTAGTAAGCTTTTCCATTTATGATTAGTAAATATAGTTTTTACTTAACAAATATCACCTAAGTGGTACAAATTAATACAGAAATTTAAGATTTAAAACTTTATAAATTATTAAAATTAAAAAAAATTAAATCAGGCCTTGTAAAAATTCATTATTCATTAAAAAATTATTTTCTGAAGACAATAGTATACATAATATATCTTATTCATAAAAGCAATTAAAAGCTTTTCTAATTAAATAATGTCTTAGTTTTATTGAATTTTTTATTTTATGATTCAAAAGCAGATTTTCAGTAACTGGTGGTTCTGTTTCACAAAAAAAAATATTGATGATTTAAATTCTTGAAAGAGTTCTACATATAACTAATATAAAAATTGGTACAAAAATGAATTTCTTGAAATTTCATAAAATTAAATAAGTGTGTATTACAGATAAAAAAAAATGTTTTTACTAAGATTTTTTTTTAAAAAAGAAACATTTCTAAAATAATTTCATTCATTTGTGAATAAGTCCTGAAAGTTTCATTAAAATCTGACAATAATTTGATTTTTGCAAGACTTTCCAAATCAGTGATGTTTTCACTGCAAATCAGATGCAAAAATTTCCTATATTAATTTTTGGTGACCAACGTTGCCACAAGAAAACCAAAATTTCAAGCGTTCAAAAAAGGTTGAAAAAATATAATTTAACAATCAAAATATCTTTTGGTCTTTCCTCTTAATAATAACAAAGTTTTTGATGGTAAAACTTTGTTTTAAGTTTGGGGGCATTTTTTTTTTCATCATGATATGCTCTTTTTTGTTGAATCTGTAGTGGTATCTAGATAAAACATTTAAAACAGCATGTATACTTTATAAATCAATTCCTTTATCTATTTCACTAGCAATTTAATACATATTTCAAGTCAGTATATATTTTTAATAAAGTCCAGTACAGAAATTGTATTTTAAACATGTTCTACTAGTATATAAACGTTATTTTTAATGGGTACACATCTTTTGAGTTGCTATCTCTGTTTTAATATAATAACAACTTTACTGAGGAGTCCTACAAAGGGATTTACTAGTATTTTTTTTTTTTTTTTGTTGTTCTCAACTTTTCATTTAGCTTATGTTATCATATGTATAAAATAAATAAAATAAAGTTTAGACAAAATCAAATTTAGCATTGTTTAAACCTCAATGAAAGGAATCCAGTCAAGAGTTAGAATTTTATGTATAAGCTTGTAATAATACCACAATAGCAAAATATCTATTGACAATACTAAGTGCCTATGTACAGGCATGTATTTGTAATTTGGATGTAGTGTTGTTGATAGTCTCGGTGATGTTTATTGAAACATTTTTTTTCTTAAAAAATTTTTTTGTGTGTGTCTGTACGTTTATATATTGGATTATTTTTCCTACATTTTTTTTTGATTTCAACAAAACTTCACAGGACTTTTTTTAAAATTAATTTTTGAAATTTGGTTCTGACAGCGATAAAAATTAAAAAAACACAATGGTTTTTGTACAAAATCAATTTGAAAACACGATAAAAACATGATTCATGTGCCGCCAGAATGAAAGGGGGACATTTCATATCGAGTTAAAAAACCCAGGTTTTTTTGTGTGTGTTCGTTTATATATGGGATTGGATTTCCTAGATTTTCAAAAAAATTTCAAAAAAACTCAAATCACTTTTTTTGGCAGGTAGTGTTTTTATTGTCTTTAAAATTTTTTTTCTTTATTTTTACATTCAGAATGCTTTTAAAATTCCATTTACAAGACAATTGTTAATAATAAAATTCTATTCAATCGATAGACTCATAACGATTGAAAACAATGTTTTTGTTTGAGTTTGGGTTTAACTAATTCATAAAAAACTGAAAAAAAAACAAAAACAAAAATTTATAATTAATAAATAATGTGTCCGTCAACCTTAAACAATAATCTTTGTCAATTTTATTTTTCATGATATGATTGTTACATTGATCTATCTCTTATTGTTACATCCCCGGCAAATAATGGGTTCTACTATAGTAGGACATAAAACGAATTTTGGAAAAAAAGTATATGCAAATATAATATATTATTTTTATTTTTTTTTTGATAAATGTGTAGCAAAATGTTTGTTAATAAAGAGAAATTAAATCAGTCATTGAAAAAAAAATGTGTCTGTAAAAAGTAAAAAGTGGTGGTTATGAAGTTTCCATGATAAGGGTAGTAGTAGTATCATGAAATATGTCTGTCAATCTACTGTGATTTCATAGCCCTAATCAGGGATTTAAAATTATTAGATGATGATAAAATTTTGAGGAATGTGAAAATGCATGATGTTAAATTTCTTTGGGGTAGTGTCTTTTTTTGTAACTTTTGTCATCTCTTCTTCTAGCTGATTGTCAGCTTATATTGTTTTTGATCAGGTTTCATTTTGTTCAAAAACAAAAAAAAAGCTAACATGAAAAGACTCTTTGTGTTAATTTTTTTGATTGGTCAAAATTATTTTTATTTTCTGATTTGACACTATTTAATGGTCATTAAAAATGAAAAAAAGAAATAATTAAAAAAAAATAAGCTGAAATAATTCTTTTGATAAGCTATCTAAAAAAGACATACTGAGCGATGTTATTTTTTTTTAACAAAAAAAAGTAGTAAAGGTTTTATTTTCCTTTGTGAAAAGGAAGATTTTTAAACACATTTTTTTTTTTTTTTTTTCACAGAAGATAGGAAAAATAAGATCTCGGATCTGTGGAATTAATTTATGTTATGACGCAGTCGAAAATTTTAATTAATCTGCCCATGGCAATAAGGAAAATTTCAAAAAGGTCAAGTGGCCTACAAAAACAGAATGCTAAGAGATAATGTTAATCATAAAATAAATAAATTTGATTTAAAAAAACATCAGCATGAGGACCACCCCAAAGCCAAGAAAGGAAAGGAAGGGAAAAGAGAAAGGAATAAACCATTAAATATTTTCGGAGATATCATTTGGTTTTGGAAAAAACACCTGTTTTATGTTCAGACTTATCCATGATAAAGTTTGTTGCCTGGACAGATTTTAATGGAAGCTGTTGATAGGCATTAAGGAGACAAAGAGATGAGTTTTCTTGACCAACCCACTAATTATGTCTGGCGAAAATCTTGATTGATAAAGTCCAATGACATTTGGTTAAGATAGAGATTTTTGGACCACACTACGATTTTATAAAAGGGGTTTGATGTCATAAAACAAAAGAAAAGAAAAAAAAAAAGGAAGATAATTTTTTTTTTTTTTTTTTTTTGATGATAACTTTTTAAACTGAGGCCAGTCTAGCCACACCCACACTGCTGAGCATCCATTGGCTGAATGGTGGCATGAAAAAAGGCGAAGGTAAACTATGATGAAGAAGGGGGAGGCCTGTTGACGCTTCTCAGTGGATTGGTGTGAGATACCACTTTGAGAAAGAAGGAAACCTGTTGACGCCCCTCTGAGGGGATTGGTGTGAGATACCAATATGAGAAAGGAAGAATTTGGGAGGATGCATCCCTTAAGAACCCAAAAATAAAAAAAAAAAAGTAGGGGACTTCCAAAAATGGATTTTGATAAATTTTCCTGTCCAAAAAAAAAAAAAAATCCTTGTTGTGGTTTTAGAATTATCGGGACCCCAAACCACGACAAGCCCACACCCGGTTTTGGTCGGCGTCCATATAAACAGAGTTGCAGCGATTTTAGCCAGTAGTTGGAGTTGAGTGAAGAGAGAGAAGCAGTTGCAGTTGGAGAGAGAGACGCAGACAGAGTGAGCTGTGGACTCTGAGACCAGCCTCGCAGGAAGCTGAAAAAAGATATCCATGCATCCCGACTTCAACTTCTAACCAAAAACAATTTATTTTTGAAGAACGACTTAGACTCACACCAAAAAAACAAGTTTTACTGAAAATCGCCTGAAGAAGATACAGAAAAAAACAGTTTTTAAAGAAAAAACAACTTAAGATGTTAAGACTTTTTAACAAAAAAACAAAGTGTCACGAATCCATATTAGCGGGTTTGGGAGAAAGATGCAGTTCCTGTATTCAGCAACCAGATATAAAAATATTTGTTATTTTTTTTTAACACATTTGAACTTTTGAGTTGTTATTTTATTTTTTTTTTACATATACTTGTGCGATGTCACCTTTGTTCGGTATTCTAATTTTTTTTTGCATTACGGCCCGGCGACTGATTGATTTCGTCTACCTAAGATCAAATCACAACGTGGGTAGGTTAGACTAGAAATCAAAGCAGTTACTTCGGTAACCAGATGTTGGAGGCGAGCTGGAACAACGAGGCTGATACCAAATCTAACCAGTTTCCCATCCGAATCAGCAAAGGATTAGAACGTCACATTTGGTGCCGCGACCAATACCAAGTCACAGTGGTCATCACAGGCAGGATATGATATTGAGGCTCTCTTCTTTTAGGCATTGGGTGACGTCACATGATGTTTCTTTCTTTTTTCACTTTTTATAATGGAAGTTATGCTTGGAGCCTCCCTGATTTTTGGTAGTTTTCAGTCACAAATAAGTAAACTTCCAGTATTTTTTTGGCTGAGTTCAGTCTTTTCTTCTTTTTTTATTTGAGGGTTGCCTTCTTGTTAGTTGGGATAGAAGGAGAGATAGAAAGAGAGAGATAAAGCTTTCAAAGGAAAGCACAAATGCGTTATTTTAATTCTTTTTATTTTTGTTGTTTATATATTTTATTTTTATATTTTATTTTATTTTGTTTTTTATTGGAACTCACTACAATAGAAATCTTTCAAATCAAGGAAAAATCAAGAGTTCATGAAGTCATTGATTTTGTTTAAAAGTAAATCATAAAATTTTGAAAATTAAAGAATACTGTCCTTTAGTTATTCTTATACGCCTTAAACAGTCTTGACCTCTGTACAAAATCTTAATAGACACCACATAATAATTCATAATAGTTGTTAGATAATTTTCCCAGTAGAAATTATGATTGGTAATTTTTATCTTGTCTTTTTTTTTTTTTTTTACACTTGTAACTTATAATAACAATTATATTTAAATTCTATTTTGTAATAATATTTTAAAATTATTGATTTTAATGAATATAAGCTCTAGAATTTTCTGACATAAATAAGGTCAATAAAGTTTCACTCTTGGATGAAAACAAAGGGCTGTATATGCAGAATGCCTTTACTGATTTAATAGTGACAAGTGTCACTATGTTAATCTTAGCTCCAAAATTAATAAATGTTATCCGGATATGTGTGTGTGTGTGGGGGGGAGGCAAGCTGTCACTGTTGTAAATTTGTATCTAAGGGCATTTGAATTTTTTTATAACTAGTCTTTGCAGATTAACTCACTCACACTAAACTTATTAGGTTTGAAGAACATAAATCCTTCAGGAATATATTTTGAATGGAAAAACAAAACATGAGAAAATGTGATTATTTTTATTTATAATTTTGAAATGGGTATGATATACATTGAAATATTTATTGGTTAGTTTGTGTTTCAGTTTGTTGCATGTTGTTATTTTGTTTGGCTTTGCTTTATATGCACAAAAGCAACCCTTTAGATTAAAATGGTACATAAGTCTGTGGGGTTTATATATATATATATATATATATATATACTTCTTATTTATGATTACTTTTAGCTTCTTTCTGCTTTCATTTATTTCATTTTCATTTCATGATTTTATTTTATTTTTCTTGTTTCTTTTCCTTCTATTTCTTAATCTGTTTCTCTTTTTCTATCCTAATTTTTCTCTATTTTCTTTTTCTCTTTTCTTTGTCACTTTTTCTTTTACCTTTTGGTTGTTTGACTGTTTTTCATATCCCCTTCCCTCTTGTTTCTTTCTTATTTTTCTTTTTTTTCAAACTTTTGATTGCCTCTTCTATTCATTTTTCCTTTTTTTCTTCCACTTCCTTTCATATATTTCTTCATATTCCCTCATTTGTCTCCTTTTATTATCTTTCATTTTTTTCTTCCATTTTCATTCTGTGTGTATTCCATTTGGCTTTCATACAGATTTTTCTTTCCACTTCTCTTTTAAATTGTTTTTTTGTTTATCTTCCTTCCCTAAGACTTCACATTCTATTTTCTTTTTATCTTTCTTTCACTGTTTTTTGTTTTTATCTTTCTCTTTTTCTTCTTCCTCCTCTGATATTTTTCTACTTTTCTCTTATTTTCTCCTTTTCTGTTTTTCTTTTCTCCTTCAACTCATATTTTATTACATGCCATCTTTCTTTTCCTCTTTTTTATTCATTTATTTCTTTTTTTCTTCTTTTTTTTTTTTTTTTTTTTTTTATTTCTTTTCTTTGTCATTTTTACTTTTATAACTGTTGATTTTAATTTCCTCTCAGCATGCTTGTGGGACATTTTCAGCCTTGTTTTCACGATGTTATTGTTCCTATTCTGAATAACTACATTTTTTTTTAATCTTCATTCATTATTTTTTTCAGTCCTACATTGTCAGATGATTGATGTACACAAGATGTGTAGGATTTACTTTTCTAATTTCCACACATAAAATATCTGGACACACACACAAAAAAACAAACTAAACATTTTAGTATAAGAAGGAAATAGGGATAAACAAAGAAAATTAGAGATATGGTAGAATGAGAGAAAGAGAAAGTGAAAAATATAAAAGAGAAAATATTATGAAAGAGAATGAGAAAAATTAAGAGCCGATCAGAAGTAAAGAAAAAAGCTGAGAATGTGGAAATTATTGAAGAGAAAGGAAAGAAGAGATAAAAAATGGCTATTGAGATACTGAAGAGAGGATTAGAAAGTAATGATGAAGAGAGAAAGATGCTGAATAGAGAGAGCATAGAGATTGTTGGAGAGAGAGAAAGAGAAAAATGAGATTGAAGAATGTGATAAAGAAAGGAACAAAGTAAGAATGAGGGAATCAGAAAGAGTCAAGAAACCAGAACAGTTATTGACAGAAAGATATAAATAAGGCAAGAGTAAAACAAAACAATAAGAGGTAATGGTACGATGGAGACAGAGAAAGAAAATAAACATGAACTTAGAAAAAGGGAGGAGGAAGAGAATGTGTTTTATTGTCATCATCTTCGCCTTTGCATTCCCTGACCATTCATCTTTATTTCATTTGGTAATGTTCATTTTGTAGGGATGAAGTATAAACCTTGTGACATTAGACCACAATTCAACTTCTATATCAAGGCAAACTAGATTTGATGATAAAGTAGAAAACTGCTGCTGTTTTCAGTGTTGCTGTAATTGTTATTCTGAAAAGTATTTTGTCATTTCTTTTTCTTTCCTGTACATCTCTTGTTGACCTGTTGTTCATATAATTAATTATAAAAAGACCAATTTAAAACAATTGAAGTTTGACTAACTTTTGAGAAGAACTTTTAGATTAAGTCTTCACACTTAGAAAACTTGGATTTTTCATTCTTTCAATATAAAATTTTGTTTATGACTGATTTAATAAAGATGCTGCTTTTAAAAGAAAATAAAGCAAGAATAATTATGTCAATCAAAACAACAAATCTGATTTTAAGTATTTTTTTCTGGGATAGGCATTTTTTTGTTTTTTTAATCATTTCATCTCAAGCAAAGCAATAAAGTCACTAAGACACAAGTGGTTACTGAGTGTAAAAGAAAAAGAAAAACATTAAGAAGTGAGAACAATAAAAGAGGTGTCAAGAAGACAGAAAATAATGATTGGCATTGCATTTAAATTTTTGAAGATCAAAGTTGACTGGAAAGCAAGAAGCTGAAAGAGAGTTCCACATTTTCTTATTTAAGCTGTAGTTGCTGAGAATAAAGTAATTTATTTTACTATGTATAGATTGGGGAGTTAAAATAAAAAAATTAAAAAGAAAATATAAATTCCTTAAGCTCCAAACTAATATAATTAGCCTGAAGAGAAACATAAAGACAAATATTTTTATTTTACTGATATACAAATTAAGTGAATCAGTTGTGTTTTAGGGTAACCCTACAAGTAGTATTTAACAAGAGAACAAGACAAGATATCCCTAGATATGTGAACATTTTACCCTTATAGATTAAATAAAGGGATCAATTCAAAATTCCCTGAAGGTTACCCAAATTGACAGGCACCTAAAGAAGGCTGGAGACCAAAATGTAATGATAATAACAACAAAGATGTGGAGATAACTTCAGAAATTCATATGGAAGTGGTATTTAGTAGCAGTTGATTTTAAATAAGCACCGATAACTGTTTTATCAATTTTTTGATTTAAAATCTCAAATATATAATACATTTTGATATCCTTTTTTGATAAACTGTTTAAGGTACAGATGGTTAAAAAATATCAAATGTTACTTTAAATTGCTTTTCTTTGATTTTTTTTTTTTTTTTTTTTTTTTTTATATGTTTGCCTTATTTGGTAATTGGCATGATTGTTTATAATGTTTTCAAGACCTTTTGTAACATTTGGCAAATAAGCATAAAGATGAGTGGTTCATGTTTGACCCTATACAGAGTGCGATGTATAAATTGTCGTCTAAATTAAGCAAAAATTAAAATAGCCCTGACATCTCATTTTAACAGATATATTTATCAAACTTGCACAAAAATATCTTGAAATACTAAAGAGTAAATTTATTCAATAAAATTGCCATTGGCTTCAATCATGGCCTTCAGATGACTTTGAAATTTCCTGTAACTCTTCTGAATGATCTCTTTGTTTAAGTTGATGAATGCTTCAGTTCATCTTTGGTGTTACAAGGAGTTTTGTTGGTCTCTTGCTCCACTGTGCCTCGTGCATAATAATCAAGGGGGGTTGCAGTTTGGATAGTTAAGTGGCTAGATGTAAGGAGTGATGTCATTGGACAAATTGTTTGACAGCCAATTGTGTTGCATGGTGCAGAGTTCTATTGCCAGACATAGGGTCTTCCAGAAGCCATCCTCTTGACCCAGGGCATCACTACCTATTCAAGGCACTTGACGTAGGCCTCCATGTTGAGTCTGAGGCCCTCACCAACAAATTTGGGAATTCTTTTCTTATCAGAAGGATCAGAGTGAGTTTTCTGAGCTGCCATACCTTCATAATCACTATTAGACTCATCCAACTCTTTCCAAATACTCTGCACTGTTCTCAGATTGACAACCAAACATTCTGAAATGTTCATATTGGAGATTCTGGTGCAAATGCCAAGCAGAACAACATACTGTTTCCAAATTTCTGGTGGGGTGAATTGCATCATGGTTCTCTTCTTCTCACAGACGGGTGCCCAACTAACCCTACTATACTGTGCCGTTGGCAAAAACAAACATCACAAAAATGTGCAAAATTAAAAATATAAAATGGTGACAATTTGCCCTTCGTACCATGTATGTATTAACATGAATTGTTAAAGAACCAAAGATTTGATAAAGAAACACTAACTCCTCCATGATCCAAGATGTTGCAATAATTAAAATGTGTAATTTTTTTTTACAGTGATGTTCATCCTGTACAAAGCCCAAGTGTCACTCGAAGTAGAGGGTTACAGAATAAGAGACACAGTTTATTGGGATATGTGGAGAAGATAATGGGTGAACCTAGACTTTAACTGGTTAAGATCATAGTGATCAGGGAGGCATCTTCTTGGGAGTTGTTTCTACAAAGCAGCAGTTCATGGGAAGAAGCTGCTTGAGAGAAATTTACATTTCAATAATGGAATATAAAAGGACTGAGGATGATTCACTACAATGTGTGTGGCATGGCTGGTCTTAGGCAGGAAAGTTAGAACTGGTGGAACTAAGGAATGTAATTCATCTGAACATTTTTCAAGAAAATAATGATAAAGCAGCAAGAGGCTTTCAATGTTTCATTTGTGAGAAAAGGATTGTAGGGTGGAAAATAATTTGTCACCCACAAGAATGCAGAGATGCTTTTGTATTCTTATCAAGAGTGGAAAGTGAAGACTGGGCAACTCCTACCCATATGTAGCAACAGTACTCCATTTTTGGCCTGATCTGACTTAATGTAAAGGTAGAGGATAGCAGGAGGATTCAAGTACTTACTTGAGTTGTGCAGGGAACAGAGACCCATTTTCCAGCATCTTTAGTGACAGATCATATGTAGGAGTTCTCCTTGAGGTCTGGGTTGAATTTATCCCAATTGGTGCTCAAAATATGGGGCCTCTCTGTGGGGACACCTGTTTCTTGTGATCAGTGAAAGTTCTGGTTCTGCTCAATGATGATGGAATGTCACTAGGCATTGAATTTGACCAGCCAGTTTTTTTCCCTTGTTAGGTCTGTCAGAGGAGATAGCAACTGCCAAGTTTTGGTCTTCTAGGATTTTGGAGGTGCATTCATATACTTTTGTATCATCTTCATAGATATTCACAAATGATCAGAGCATGCTCTTATGCAGATCATTTATGCAAATTAGAAAGAGGGTTGGATTGAGAAGCAGACCTTGGTGGATGCCAGTTTGATCACTTGGATCTCAGATGATTGGCCATTAGCAACTAGTTTCAGGGACCAGGAAGGACTTTATAATTGAAAAGACTTCTAGTGATTCCTTACCTCAGGAGGTTGTGTAGTAACCTTTTATGCTATACCTTGTCAAAGGTCATTTAAATATCTAATGCAATTGTCATTGAGGTGTATTTGTTGTCTAGTGTCTCACTGATTCTGTTAGTATATCAGTACTGGACTGAACTCATCAAAATCTGTAGTTGTTTTTGAAGTGATCAACAAACCTCTTGTTGATTATAGCTTCAAAAAAATTGCTAATGACAGTGAGGAGGCTATTTGATCTATACTGTGAAAGGGATAGCAGAGATTTAAGAAATGAGATCTATCATATACACAAATGCACTCTGAAATCATACAAAGGCTTCGCATCCAGGATCTGAATCAAATGTCTGGTTTCTTTGCAGTTCTACAAACCATCCATATTGTTTCATCTTTTTGACAAATATGGAAAGAAACTTGTAGAAAGAGACCACTGAAATGTTTTGGACTTAATAAAGACAGTGTAGTTGTTATCAGCATGAAAAGTGGCATTGGCATGCTGAGTTCAAATTCTGGCCAGGGTCATTGCATTCACTTTCACACAAATACCTTTGGGAAAGGTATGACTCTATTTCTTCTCTCTCCAGCTATGGGTTAATAGCAGCATGAATACGGTTCTCTACTCTTGATTGGCAACCAATTTAGCAGAAGGATAATATTGAATTCAAAGCTGGTTTAGTGTGGGGTTAGTAATTCTACCTATAAGAAGCCAACCTATTATGGAAACCACAGCAATAACACTCCCTTAGGTGAGACCCTATACTCCACATGGAGTGAGAAGTACTCATCACTCTCAGTGAGGAAAGAAAGATTAAAGAACATTTACAGGAT